TCATTTTTTCCATCTATCCATCCGTCCTTCCTTCATTTTTCCATCCATTCATCATCCCTCTATTATTCTTTCTTTTTTCCATCAATCCATCCCTTCATTTTTTACATCCATCCATTGTCCCCCAGTTATTCTATAATTTTTTTTCCGTCTATTCATCCGTCATCCTTTTATTCATCTATCTATTCATCCATCTGTCTTCCCTTCATCCATCCATCCAACTATACAGCATCATTTCATTCATTCATTCATCTATCATTCTTTCATTCATCCTTTTGTCTGTAATACTTTTATCCATCCATTTATCCATTCGTCATCCATCCATGCTTCAGTTATCCTTCCATCTCTCTTTCATCTATCTATCCATCCAGTCATCATCCCTTCATCCATTCATCCATCCATCCATCCATCCATCTATTTGTCATACTTTTATCCATCCATTCATCCATTCGTCATCCATCCATGTTTCAGTTATCCTTCCATCTATCCTTCATCCATATATCCATCCAGTCATCATCCTTTCATCCATCTATCCATCCGTCATTCTTACATTCATCCATCTATCCAATTATTCATCCATCCGTCAGCAATCATTCCATCTCTCTGTCATCCATCCATCCAGCCGTCATCCTTCCATCTATCTGTCATCCATCCATCCAGTGATCATCCTTTTTTTCCATCCATACGTTTGTCTGTCATTCCGTTTAACCATCAGTCATCCATCCATCCTTCCATCCCTCCATTCATCCAGCCATCCATCCATCCATCCAGCCATCTATCCATCCAGCCATCTATCCATTATCCTTTTTTCCATCCAGCATCTTTTTATCCATCCATCTGTCATTTTTTTCCATCCTTCCATCCATTTCTCCTTCCATTCATATATCTTTTTATCCAACATTCTTTTATCCATCCACCCATCCATCCATCAGTCATTTTCAACCATCCTTCTTTTATCCATCCGTCTGTAATCCTTTTATCCACCCATCCATCCATCCGTCATCCATATGTCTATCCAACCATGTATCCATCTATCTATCAATCAATTCACCTTTAGCATGTACATTACTGTCAAAGCATTGCAGTTGAAACATCTAAATTAATAAAAGAAAACAGGATCCCAAAAATGACTTATAAAGAAATAAACACTTCCAATCTAAGGTGTTTTTTACCCTTCGGCTGTTGGCCGTCTCAGATTAGCAATGTCAATTACATGCCACTTGATTGGAGCTTTGATGACAGGATGTGTTCTTGGGTGGTGACCTCTGCATCACTTGAGTTGTTGTGCTTTTTTTAATCTGCTGCCTTTCTAAGATAAGAACTGTTCCACCGCTGTCACTGATTGCACGTCTCTGGGAAAAGGTCTGCTCATACACCGGCACCTACCATTTTCTGAAAGGACAGACCTAATTCACATGCCCACCGGGTGAAATACGGTTCTCATACCACAGATTTCGATTTTTGTGTAAACCGTTTTACTGGTGAGGTTGGCTTAAGTTTTATTGGGTTCACTTCATTACGTTTATTGGCATGATGTATCCGTTTGTCTTTGAACAGTCAAGATCCCTGAAATCTTGATTGTTCCCAAGAGTATAACCTTGACAGTAAGGTAAGCTAAAGAATCCCCACCCCCTCTTTTGTTTTGCATTGTATATAAAGGTGCAACGCAAAAGACGCAAGGGTCTTACCAAATTGAGTAATACTCAAAGTTAATCTAAAGTTAATCTAAAGAAAAGTATTCTTTATATCAGTTAACATTGTTTCTGAACCCTTTGATTGTAATCCTGAGTTTTCTTTCAGGAGCATTCATGTTCAGGCCCTGTGCTAGCCCGGTAAAGGAGGTGGTTCTTTTTTTTTTTTTTTTTTTCAAAAGTGGACCTTTTTGCAGTCATTCACCTCCATTTTACATATAACTAATGTTCTGCATTAAATACTGTATTTTAGTGAAATTTTTTGCACAACTTTTGTTGGATTAACTTGTCGGATGGTCATCATAACCACACTTTTTAATGTAGTTTCCTGATTGTTCTAGCCTCTCTTGTAAATGTGTATGTTTGAGAATTCATAGATAACAACAATAGCCTAATTAGTATTAAAATTAACTTTAATATGCTACAAAATTACCTTTTTGTTGCTTCACACCTTTGTATTTGTCATTCTTTCTTAATAAAAAGGTCCAAAATAAAATTTAAAAAAGCTTAGAAAAGTTATTTGTAAAAGTATTCCCTATATAACAATAATAGGGTATATGCAGAAGTATGTTGAAGGATTTGTCAGTAACCTGGGTCAAGCTCTTTCGGTGAACTGTATGCCGTTAAAAAATTTGACTCATTTAAGGTATGTTTTCTTTAAAAATCAGCAATCTCCAATGGCTGAGTGATATCCAAAATAAAGTGGGTCTCAGAATGTCCATAAAGCACTGCATTAAAATACATGTTTCTAAAATATGATGTGTTTAAAAACAAATAAGTTTAAAATATGAATCTATAATATATGCAATGGAGCTTCCGTGCTAGTCTGCCGATCCTGACAGGCGTGTGCATGTAAACGGCTTTTCATCTTCTTTTATGCTTGAGCAACTAAGTGAACGCTGAAGTCTATTTAAATGATTGTATTTTAGTTACATTACAACATGCTGTAAAAGCAACCATATAAAATGGAAAAAGGTCATGTTAACCGTTCATCGGAAGTTTATTAGTATGGAAAGAAACACTAGCTCTGCATACAGTAGGTCAATAGTGAAAGATGACTTATGTCAGATTCCACTTGGTCTTAAAGTCTTTTTCGATTAGTTATTTTCACAATTATTTTCACAATGATGGCATAGCAGTCAAAATAGGACAATTGAGCTCATGTGTAGGACAAATTCTGGACCTTTGTCAGTAGGGGGTGGGCTTTTCAAACCACCCAAACCCCCTACAGACCTTATATCACAATATCCAGAATTTAAACAATTCCCAACAGAGGCATTGACGAGAAAATTGATTTAATTTTTGATTGAATTAATAATGTGCATAGAAAATCACTTTTATAGTCTGATATAAGCCATTTCCTTCCTAACTTTTTGTATTCACAAACATAACTTAATGTGAACTAATGAGCTTTTGTGTGTTTTTGTGTACAACCATTTTTGAATGTGGAATTTATTTCTTTAAATGACTTTGTAATGCATTTATGATTAATGTATTAGCACTACAAATAGTTGTAGAATCAGTCAAAAAAATAATAAAAGCAGAAAACATTTTTAGTGGGAATTTTTGGAAAAATTTTCACATTTTTTGGGTTCTCAGAAACAAATTGTAATAGTAGGAAACTACAACAAAATATTATTAAAATATTATTATCAATAGATAAAAAAATTGTTAACGCATCGTAAAGTTCTAGAAGTGAAAACTCCATTTAAATAATCACCAATTCTGTTAGTTATGTTTTTTTATTTCCAGAATACGTTATTTCCAAATTCATTGCAGATAAAAGTAGATGAAATATTATAACTGTAAACCAACATCAACAATGTTGTGTTGCATTTGTTTGAAAGTTTGCTTTGCAGAGAGTATTCTAGAAATTTGTGACATGACCACTTATATGCTATGGTTATTAAATACCTTTGAGCTTAAGCTGTTGAGTTAAAGAAGTTAAAGGGATAGTTCTGAAAATACTGATTATTTACTCATCTTTTACTTGTTTTATTAAAGTTTGAGACTATTGTTCAGTTGAACACAAAAATAGTAGGATTAACAAATACTCCAGGTTTCCAACAGTTTTGAAAATATCATATTTAATACCAGTGAGCGGTGAGTCATTGATGGCAGTATTTTTAGCAGTAATCTCCCTTTAATTATAGTAAATTGATGGATTTTTGAGAAATATTAGACAAAAAAGCAGATAAAGTGATAAGAAAAAGGTGTATTGTGAGGAAAACTATTAAATATATTTACAACATTAATAATGATAATAAGAATGGTAATAATAAAAGTAAGGAAGGGACCAGACAAACATAATGAAATAAGCAACAATAAAAAATATAATTATGGTTGATTTTGATCCCCTGACCTTACTTTGGTCAATTTAAATGAGTAGACCCATTTACATGAACATGTGCATTGTTGGCTTAAGCATAACTGAGTTAAGAATTTGCATAGAAATTAACACTATATATTCTGATGCACATTTCATTCCCAGCTGTTTCTATTCACAAACATAACTTAAAGTCCCCATGAACCGGAAGCTGCAACCATGACTTTTTTCGTATTGTGATGCAATTCCTAGAAAAACGGAATATTAAGTGACACAACAGTGGGCGTGGCTTGTTTTTCTACCACGAGTTGAATGGATGTAGTAAAGTTAGCATTTCATTCAGAAAGATGGCGGAAAAGGGTTATTACAACCTAACAGACACCTCCTCCTCACTATTTCTATTTGTTGTCAAAACTGACTGTGGTTAAATAAGTTAGGCACACTCAATTCCTAAATTATACGTAATCTGACAAATTAACTAAAAGAAAAACAGGAAGTGCTACAGATTTTGATCAAAGATTAAAAGGGCAAACATTGTTTTTTTTAATGACATGCACAGATGAATTGTTCACAAAACTAGCAATGTGAGCAAAAATCATATGTGAACACAACCATATGGTTAGTTTTGATTTTTTGGGGACTTTGATGTGAACTAGTGTGTTTTTTGTATACTTTTTAAAGAGCTCATTCCAACACATATAACAGCATGTTTTTGCCTCCTTCCAAACAAAATGTGTAATTTACTTTTGAGGTATTTTAAGCTCAAACTTCAGACACATTCTGTGGACACCAGAGACTGATATCATCTTATAAAGAAGCACAAACAACTAATTTAATTGATTGGCATCATATTTCTCATTTGCTCCAATTATTATGGATACAAAGTACCAGATTTGGAAACAGTGAGGCATGATGACTGAACAGCAAACGTCAAAATATATGAGCCATATCTCCATCAGTGAGCTCTTTCATCTTAATTCACACAGGATTCACAGGACATGACTGCTCCATGCCGGCTACGGGCTGCACTTCCAACCCGTGCAACACAAAGGGCACTTCCATGTGCGAAGAGCAGCAGGATGGTTTTAAGTGCGTATGTCACCATGGCTATACGGGCCTGTTTTGTGAAACGTCCATCAATCACTGCGTCGAGGGATTGTGTCATCACGGATCAGAATGCGTGGATCTCACTAAAGGCTTCATGTGTGAATGTTTGCCTGGTAAGAGTGATTTCTCTACAGTTTGTCTTACTGCCCCGTCCCTCAATCCACACCATTTAACCCTCAACCCATTTTCATCTGTGCTCAGGGTTACGAGGACGATTGTGCGAGGTAAACATTGATGACTGTCTGGATAAGCCCTGTGGTGCACTCAGTATCTGTAAAGATGGTATCAATGCCTATGACTGTTTTTGTGCACCTGGGTTCGTCGGTAAGTCCACCACAAGCAATTTTCTAGAGCAATTTTTCCTTTGCCCAGTTTTCTAACATTCAATTCCCCTGTGTTGAGCCGTGTTTAAAAGGTCTGCGCCCTCAAATCTGCCCCTGTATTGTAAGACATTAGTTGACCGTCTGCTTATCAAGGGGAATTTCCTAAACTGCATTACCCTGCCATCACATTTTCTGGCATCCATTTGACCAAGGAGACAGGAGAAGGATTTTTTTTCTGTCTCGCGCAGCACCTCATCATTAGCTGTAGGTTATTTTATTTGAAGGGGTATCACGGCCCCTTTATTTGCAAGGAAATCTTTAATGAAATGAACCTTTCCCCTTCTTTTCAAGGTAATAACTGTGAGATTGAAGTAAATGAGTGTCTTAGTCAACCCTGTCAGAATGGAGCGTCCTGCTCAGATGAGCTTAACTCCTTCAGCTGTCTCTGCCTTGCCGGCACTACAGGTACACAATTCCTTCCTGCAGAGTTTCAAGGGCTCAGCTTGTGTGATTGAGGCCACATAGATACATTTGGAAATTGACAACAGTTTGAATGTTGATTTTTTTTTTTTTTCCTTTAATTTACTTATTTGTTTGGTTAACATGTTAGCACTACAAGTACAGTAATTATAAAATCAGTCCAAATATAAATACATAAAGAAAACATCATATTAATTGGAACTTAAAGATAGAGACTTAAACTTACATCTTAGCAATGCGTTTTTTACAACTCTGGGGTGCCAAAAAGAAATTCTAAACGTACGAATTTACAACTATATATAATTATAAACATTATCATCTTTAATTGAAAATTGCTGACAATGCCATTTATGCATGCACGAATTCTGTTTTTTTATATGTGTACAGAACACTTTATTACCAAATCTATTGCAGATAAAAGTAATATAATAAAATAATATTTAACAACTATAAACCAACATACAGTAACAACAGGGGTTGTGTTTTGTTTGTTTGAAAGTCTGCTTTGCAGAGCATATTTTGGAAGTTTGTGACCTGACAACTTTAAAAGCATTGTTTATTAAAGAGGTGATCCACAGTGTATTTTTAAGGCTTGTTTGTGTTTATAAGATGCAAAGCAATGTGTGCTCATGCTTCATTTTGTAGAAAAATCACATAATTTTTTCATATACCTTTCTTTGATTATACACAGCTACTCAGCTAACATGAAAACGACCATCATATGTCCTAGTTCTTCTGAAAGACTCAAGAGGCTCTGATTGGTCAGCTAACATAATGCGCTGTGATACATGCTTTTGCTTTGTCTAAAAAGCCGTATTAGTTTTCCTAAATCTAACAGAAATTGCCTGCTCTCTAAAATAACATCTGACAATTGTCTTTCACCTATTCGGATTAAGCATGGTTAAGTAATATGCTATACGTTAACATATCTTTTGCAAATTAGTTTTTTGAGATGTAGAACTCACGGGAAGTGGCCGCATAGAGAGAGACACTGCAAATGCTGCTGAGGATTGTGGCTGTTTACAGGGGTTTGACTGATAAATGATTGCGTTGCTAAATTGTTAATGGTGCCAAACAGCATTTCCCGTTGCTCATGTCCTTGCTACATAATACCGTTAATTCTAGAAACTATGTATGTAATAGATCAATTTTAACAAATAAAAAAGGCTTACAGATTGTGGCCCACAGCTTTGTCAGTTGGAGGAGCTTAACTGAATCCAGCACTGAACTGGGAGAGATTCTGGAAGCCATCCTTTGTCAAATGATGGCTATATATTTTTTAGAATTCTCTGGAACATAATTAAAATGAAATTGTTAGCACATCTGTCTTTGTGTCGTGTCCTTTGGAAGCCCAAATACAGAAACAGAACACATTCTGTGAAAAAAGCAGCTATTGGACGGCATTTTTACTTTCTCTGCTATAACATTACAGTGCCTCTGGCTACGCCCCTTTGCTGCGCAGGATGTGTAACTGGAAAGGCTTGTGATCTCATTAGCCCAGATGTTTTCTTTGTAGCCCCAAACTTCGTTCACTGTAGGCTTTGCTAAGCTAACTCTGTAAAAGCCTTTGTCTTCCATTGCATTGAACTTTGAGCGTATAACATTGAAATGTTTGTTCACACAGCTACATTACACATCAACTATAGTTTAAAATATGATACTGTAGTGGACCACCCCTTTAAACAAATATGTAATCCATTTACAGTACAAATTCCATTTAAGTTTGAGATTTTTTCAGCAATTTAACACAAAGATATATATTAAAGAATGTTGGAAACCTGTAAACACTGAAATAGAAGAAAAAACAAATACTATGGAAGGCAACGGTTACAAGTTTACAACATTCTTCAAGATATGGGTTCCGTTAATGACCACAGAAAATTTTACCATCTCATCCGAAAGATGGCTGATGGTAAATGATGACAGTATGTTCATTTTTTGGTGAACTATCCCTTTTATCAAAAGAGTTTCACATTTTTTAAAGAGTTGTCAGCCCTCCAAATTTCTGTACTGTGTTAACAGAAGAGGATTAAGCACTGAAAGAGGAACTGACAACTACATTAAACTTCATTGTGCATCTAGCCTTTGATTTACAGTGCAATAGTTGAAAAAAAGATGTCAAATTTGCCATCAAATTAATGTTTGTGTTTAAAGCACTCACAGAGGAGCATTAACCATTTGTTTTGTAATACAGTCCTGTGCCAAGCACAAAGTTTCGTTTCACATAAGTACATCTTTGTTAACGAAAAATGTAAATACTTCACTAAATATACAATAAGGTAAAAATGTCATCACAATCTGTAAAAAAGGCTAGAAACTGTTCAAGCCAAATGTTGTCTAACAAATAGAGCAGCATTTTAATATCACCTCCAAGAAGTTGCGATTGGCTTTTCTAGTTGTCCCTGCACTTTAAACTGGAACTGAGGTGTTTTAATAAAGAACCAAAATTGCACACTTCAGCTTGAAGAGATATGATCATTTAATGTGTCATGTTTAGTTTACAAACAGCCCTTTAAAACAGAGGGGCACTTTTAGTTCTTATCCAGCCACATTAAGTTTCTATTTCAAGAGTAATTTCCACTTAATTCTTTCATGTTCATGCAAATTGGAAAGGAAATAGGCTCATTTGGCAGTATGAGTCAACTCAAGCTCTCGGTATATTTTAGGAACCTCCTGCCCAATGGAATGTAAATTCATCGTCTTTCATTTCAAACCAGGAGGTGTATTTCTCGAAGGCTTAAAAGGGATTTTAGATTTGTTTTTACTTTTATTCCAGATTCTTTGTGCGGCGAAAACTTTAGCTTATAATTGGTTGGCATGGGAATTTCTACGACAACTCTCATTCTTATTTTCTTCTTTTTTTGTTTGCCTTGTTTCCTTTCTCTCTCACTTTGCAGGCAGTTTATGTGAAATAAACATAGATGAATGCCAGTCATCACCATGCATGAATAATGGCACGTGTTTGGACCTCTCAGACGGATTTAAATGCATTTGCCCTTCAGGTTTCTCTGGTGTGTCTAATTATTTTTATTTCTATATTTTTTTTTATGTAAAGCATTATCACATTCATTAACTCTCCATTGGTTTACTATTGCTCTCATGGGGCCAAGCACAATAATATCACTCTAAATCTCAAGATGTTGTAGTATTTTAGGAACATGTGCTCATTTTGTTTTTTATTATAATTTTTTTATTCTCGGAAAACCATCTGCTAGGTGTCATTTGAGAGAAACGCACTTCCTTCAGTTGCATAATAACTCTTTTTCTTTTTTTATACTGTGCATTAAAGGTCCAGAGTGCTCGATGGACATCAATGAGTGTGTCTCATATCCCTGTAAGAATGGAGGCTCTTGCATTGACCAACCGGGTAATTACTACTGCCGATGCCTGGCTCCATTTAAAGGTAATGAAGACTGAGGGACTGGGGTGAAGGGTGAAGAAAAGCAAAGTTAATTAACTTCAAAGAGCATTCCTCTCACCTGTCTGAACAAATGCAGTCAGATGCCTCATGGAGACACCTTTGTGATCCTCTAAACGCATTTCAATTTATATTAATGTCCAGTAAAATAGAAATGATAAAGTACACTGCAAAAAAATTATTTCCTTGCTTGGAGTTTTTGTCTTGTTTCTGGTGCAAATATCTAAAATTTCCTAAATCAAGAAGTATTTTTAAGACAAGCTAAATATATTGTCTTGTTTTAAGAAATAATATGTCCAAATTAAGTGAGTTTTTTCCTTAAAACAAGCTAAATAATCTGCCGATGGGGTCAGCAAAATAATCTTATGTCAAAAGGAAAAACACAATTATTTTACTGACTCCATTGGCAGATTATTTTGCATAATATTTCTTAAAGCAGTTTTTTTTGTCTAGGAAATGCTGCTTGGTTTACAATCCTTCCGGAACATATTCATAGTGTTTTACTTTTTCCAAATTTTTTATGTTACAGCCTTATTCCAAAATGGATTCATACATAAGTATTCACAGCCTTTGCTCAATACTTTGTTGATGTACTTTTGACAGCAATTACAGATTAAAGTCTATTTGAATATGATGCCACAAGCTTGGCACACCTGTTTTTGGGAATTTTTGCCCATTCCTCTTTGCAATACCTTTTAAGCTCTATTAGATTAGATGGGAAGCGAAGGTGTACAGCCATTTTTAGATCTCCCCAGAGATGTTTAATATGATTTAGGTCTGGACTCTGGCTGGGCCACTCAAGAACATTTACTGAGTTGGTTGTAAAGCCACTTCATTGATAATTTGGCGGTGTGCTTTGGGTCATTGTCCTGCTGGAAGATGAACCGTCAATCCAGTCTGAGATCAAGAGCCCTCTGAAGCAGGTTTTCATTCAAGATGTCTCTGTACACTGCTGCATTCATCTTTCCTTCTATCCTGAATAGTCTTCTAGTTCCTGCTGCTGAAAAACATCCCCACAGCATGATGCTGCCACCACCATGCTTCACTGTAGGGATGGTATTAGCCTGGGGATGAGCAGTGCCTGTTTTTTTTTCCAATTGTAACGCCTGGCAGTTCACTTTAGTCTCATCAGACTAGAGAAATTTGTTTCTTATGGTCTGAAAGTCCTTCAGATGCCTTTTTGCAAATTCCAGGTGGGAAGTGGCTTCCGTCTGGCCACTCTACAATACAGGGCTGATTGGTGGATTACTGCACAGGTGCAGTCCTTCTGCAAGGTTCTCCTCTCTCCACAGAAGAAGCTGGAGCCCAAACAGAGTGACCATCGGGTTATTGATCACCTCCCTGAATAAGGCCTTTCTCCCCTGATCACTCAGTTTAGATGGCGGGCCAGCTCTAGGAAGAGTCCTGGTGGTTCTAAACATCTTCCACTTACAGATGATGGAGAACACTGTGCTCATTGAAACTTTCAGAGCAGCCGAAATTTTACTATAACCTTCCCCAGCCTTGTGCCTCAAGACAATCCTGTCACAATCCTCCACAGGTCAACTCCAATTAAACTGCTGAAACATCTCAAGAATGATCAGTGGAAACAGAATGTACCTGACCTCAATTTAGAGCTTCACGGCAAAGGCTGTGAATATTTATGTAATCTGATCTTCTAGTTTTTTTTTTTTTTTTTTTTTTTTTTAAATAAATTTGCAACAATTTAAAAAAATATTTTTTCACACTGTCATTATGGAGTATTGCGTGTAGAATTTTGAGGAAATAAATTAATTTAATCTATTTTGGAACCAGGCTTAACTAATAAAGCCTAATAAGGCCTTAAACACTTTCCGGATGTACTAAAGACATTTTTTGAAATTTGGTCTAAATTCAAGACACAATCTATGTAGTGTATTGTAGTGTAGAATTATTTAAAGGGGTCTAATCATACTTTTAACCACTTGTTAATATTGCTGTTTGAGCATAAAGGAGCTGCAACTTACAGAACATAAAGATACTCTAAAGAGAGTGCAGCACGTAGTTCAGAGTTTTTGCTTTGGGATCATACACATCACATTATCCAGGTGGAGCTGTGTTAGTAGTGTGTGTCAGTTTCACAACTCTAATATAATGCTACACATTTCTCTCCTTCTCAATTGTTTGAATTCACAAACTTAACCAAAAATATGTGAACTTTTGTGTGCTTTTGACATAACCTTGTGTGTATGTGACATAAACGAGAACTTAGTTTACGGATGCTTTCACACCTAGACATTTGTTTTTGGAACATGACTTGTTGGCTTCCTTAGTGTGGTTCGCATATGTGAATCCAACAATTGGATCTGATTCTCGCCAAAACAATCTGTCCAAGACTGCCTGAATGCCTCTGCTCGGCTCCGGGGTCCAAGCTCTCTTTTAAACTGTATAGGAAGACCTCAAGAAATGGTATTATTAAATGTATACAAATCGGTGTAATACTAAAATCACAATCGCTATATGTATGTATATGTATGTATGTGTGTGTGTGTATATATATATATATATATATATATATATATATATATATATATATATATATATATATTTATTTATTTATTTATTTACAGTGGAATTATTAACCCCCTTTTGATTTTTTTTCTTTTTTTAAATATTTCCCAAATGATGTTTAACAGAGCAAAGACGCTTTTTGAGTAATGAGTACAAAATGTTTTAATTCAAATGAGTAGCTGCTTGGACCTGGAAACAGTATTCCATACGTCATGACTTAACAAGTGGATAAATTAAAATAATAACACATGCAGGGTTCAACAATAAGCATTTAAAAAAAAAAAAGTGTTAATAGCAATTGCTTAGCCACATATTTTAAATAATGTGTCAAAAATAACGTGTTAGTTTAGAATTTTTTTAATATTTAAAAAAAATATTGAGTTTATAAATGTATAATGAGCAAAATGTCAAAGTGTTATGCAACCAAAAAGAGCAGTATGGAAAATGTGCAAGTATTTTCTTGCAGTTTTAACAAAATGTGGCTGACTTGCCACACCGACGGCAAACTGTGCAAAGCATCACTTCATTTTTTCAAGTTGTACCCATGGAAATAAATTCTAAAAGACATTCAAAACAGATGTTTCTTTTAGTTTCATAATTTGATGTTGCCACCATCCACCATGTTGTCTTCACCGTACTGGTTGTTACCAGGTTATGAAAAAAATAATAATGTGCTCACAACATCCAATCAGATGAGAGGAACCGTAAAGCAATATGGTGTTAACGGCATCACAAAGAGAGTAGCATTTAAAGGCTTAAAAGCACAAACCGTTTATCGATTCTAAGTCTGAATTTGCAGACAATTGTCAAATAGTTGCAGGCCCTGATCGGGCCAGTAACGATTCTGTCTACTGTCCCAAGAGTCTTTCACGTTCTTATTGTTGCAGGACTCTTTAAAAAAAAAGTTTGGAACTCTGACCAATGTGAGGTAACTTTATATGACTAGTTTTAACTATTTTGGTTCTGTTAGAATCTTTGTCATGTAAAAGTAAACCGCACCAACAACAAAGAACAACATTGTACCAATCTTAATCCTGATTTCTGAACAAAACAATCAATCTAAGTGTTAAAACATTCTAAAACTCACTTGACATGTTTGGTAAAAGCCTGTGCCCTCAGAAAACTACAAATTAGGAGTTTAAAGGGATAGTTTACCCAAAAAATAAAATGATCATTATTTACTCACCATTTACTTGTTTAAAATATACTATTTTTATTTTTTATTTTCTTATTTTGAAATGTGTAACCAATGACATCCATAGTATTTGTTTTCTACTATGGGAGTCGGTGGTTTCAACTTTCCGGAAAAAATCTTTTTTTTGTGCTGAACGGAAGAATGAAACTCATAAAGGTCTGGAACTATTTGAGGGAAGTACATTTCCTTTTTTTTGTGAACTATCCCTTTAAACTGATAAGACTTTAAAATGCTGATATTCTGTTGCCGGAAAAACCAAAGCACAAGTTTTAAAAGATCAGAGAGTGTTTTCTTTTGTCCAAAAAATAGGAATTTACAACACAACCCATGTGAGCATTTTGTCTATTTGTCATTTTAGCATTTTGCCTCTATGAATGCAAACAGCAAACATTCTGGTGCAAAACAAAAGTTATTTTTTCAATCTTGTGTGCTTTTACAATGAAATCTTTGTATTAGGTTAAAAAAAGCTTACTTTTTTAGAAGCTTCGGAAAAAAGTTCCCTTTCAGTGCCATTTCAGCACACTCTTTAACATTAATTTTCTAGTTTATTGGCAAGGCTTCAAAATGAAAAAGTAAATAAATAAAAAAAGTGTAATATTTGGCTCAATTTCAAGTTTGGTCTGTTGAGCAAATAAACACTATTTTCTGTTTTCTGCTTTTAAGAACTGCAGGCCGAATGGATTAAAACTGTAATTATAGTTGTGTGGGTGTGTTGGTATGGATATAAAAGTTTGTTTACTCTGATAAATTTGTCTGTGTGTGTCTGTTTGGCACTGAACATTTTACACTTTATGGTCTTATGTGTAACTTTAAAAAAAAAAATGTAATTGATTCTTAAGGGATAATCTAAAATCTCAGAGGTGTTATTATCTGAAACTTTACTGCTTTCTGGTCGACACCTTGTTTATGTTAAAAAAATTAATTAATTAATTAATAATAATAATAATAATAATAATAATAATAATAATAATAATAATAATAAAACAATGTTAATAATGCCAATAATAATAATTAATTTAATTATTATTTTCATTTTTATTTTATTATTTTTATTTTATAATTGTTTTTATTAATGTATCATTATTTTTTTTTAATCTTAATAATAATAATTTTACTATTTTTGTTGTAATAATAATAATAATTATTATTATTATCATTATTATTATAAACTCAATTGCAAAATTTAAACTGAAATATAAACAAAGTTTAAAAAGTATACAGTTTTAAAAAAATCACTCTTACAATGTATTTTCATTTTATGACAGTTTTAGAATATTACAAGCCAAACTACATATTTTGCTGAGGATGATTTATGGTAGTAAGCCCTGCATTCTTACAGACACAAACACGCACATGCACACACTCAAACGCACGCGCACACACACACACATTATATGCTGGTTCAGTTCAGAGGTTGTTTAAACCAGACCCAAATGTCAGGACATATTTCCCCTAGAGTGCTGTGCTCTTCAACTCACTTATTCAGATCAGGAAACTGCGGAAATGTATGTGTGTGTGTGTGTGTGTGTGTGTGTGTGTGTGTGTGTGTGTGTGTGTGTGTGTGTGTGTGTGTGTGTGTGTGTGTGTGTGTGTCTGTGTGTGTGTGTGTGTGTGTGTGTGTGTGTGTGTGTGTGTGTGTGTGTGTGTGTGTGCGTGCACATGTTATACACAGCTATATTATGCGCATTATTGGGTTTTCTCTGTGTTTTGTGTGTATGATGCTCAGCTGGTCAATTCCGGACAAAGAATGCAGCTCATCTAAAATCGATCAGGCAGCTCAGTCATTGCTGCTTATATTCAAACTGAGATCACGAATCTCACTTCCATTAGACGTGCAAGTTAGGTTGTCAGGGATAATGATGATATCGGTTATTCTGTATTGAAATCAAGGGAAAAAAGGCTCTGACAACCTCGCTGCTCTGGAAATATACAGACACGCACACTTGTAGAAGGATGTGGAAAGATGTTGGCAACATACCCATTACACAACCATCCTTTATTAAATTATCTACTGTCTATACTATTTACAGTCTAAGAGTGAGTTAATTGTAACCCTGAGAGGTCGTATTGGCCAATACTTAGCAATTGGTAATTAGGCTATTCAGTGCTTGCCATTCATTTCCATATGAACTTTTCACATCTTTTTCTGAAATGTGCCTGTGTAATTTAGCTTCTTGTTCTGTGTTTGATTGGGATGTTATTATTTGATTCACTTTCATATCATGCTGATTAAAAACGTGTGTGGTGAAACATGCCCGGTGACCTGCTTTGACTCAGTTTGGTCAGTATAAGTGTGTTGGGGTACATTTGTGAGCAACTTGACTTAATTTTTCTTATTTTGATTACAGATGAAGATCTAAAATGGAATGAATATTTATGCATTTCTTACTTAAATTAAGTGTATTGTATAGTATTTATTTATTTATTTATTTACTTATTTATTTATCTGTTTGTTTATTTATCTGTTTGTTTGTCTACTTATTTATGTTTCATGTGTTAATTTATTTATTTAATTATTTGCTTGTCTATTTCATTATTTTGTTGGGTTTATTTATTTATTTATTCAATTATTTTTTCTGTAATTATTTGTTTGCCTAATTTTTATTTTGTTGTGTTATTAATTTATCCATTTATTTACTTGTTTGACTATTTGTTTATTTTGCGGGGTTATTAATTAATTAATTGATTTATTTATTTACTTATTTGTTTGTCTATTTATTTTGTTGAATTTATTTATTTATTCAATTATTTCTTTTATTTATTTACTTATGTCTAGTTATTTTTTGGGGTTATTTATTTGAATATTTGTTTACTTATGTGTTTGCCTATTTATTTATTTTTTGGGTTATTTATTTATTGATTTGTTTATCTATTTATTTATTTTGATGGGTTATTTATTTATTTATTTTTTTCATTTTTTTATTACTTCAACAGTGTTAATAATAAATTAAACACAGGCTACTTGTAAATACATGCTTTACATATTTCCAATGCGCTAGTGCTGAAAAAGGTGTGTGTGTGTGCGTGCGTGCGTGCATGTTGTATGTTAAGTCTAAAAAGGATCTTTGACTTCTTTGATTTTTAATTCTTAGATGAGAAATCACACTGTGTAAAAATAATATTTATTTATTAAGCAAAATAGATTTTAAAGTACTTTTAAATGTTGAAAGGAAGATACTGAATTTCTCTTATTTTGATTAAAGATGAGGATCTAAAATGGCTTTGAATTAATTCATAAATGAATTAATTCAAAGCCTAATGAATTAATGAGTGAATGAATATATAGTCATTCATCTTTGTTGAGAATTTTCACGCTGTGTTATTTATTTTGTTTGTTTTTTATCTGTCTATTTATTTGTTGATTAATTAATTAATTAAATAATCAGTTTTTTGTCTATTTGTTTATTTATTTGTCTGTTTAATTTGTTGGGTTATTTATTTATTTATTTATTTATTTATTTATTTATTTATTTATTTATTACCTCAACAGGTGAATAATAAAAGAAACACAGGGTACTTGTACGCAAATGCTTCACATATTTCCAATGAGCTAGTGCTGAAAAAGGGTGTGTGTATGTATATGTACTTATATTAAGTCTGAAAAGCATCTTTGACTTAATTGAGTTCGATTTTTTTTTAATTATTAGATGAGATCACAGTGTGCAAAAAAAAAATCTACAAGATTGAAATGATTTATTATTAAGCAAAATTGACTTTAAAGTACTTTTAAGTATTAAAAAGAAAAATCATTTAGAGACATTGTGCCTTATTTATAAAATTCACTCTGAAATTGAGAATAGAAGCCTTTTACATAATTAACCATGATAATGTGCAGAGTAAACAATGAGGAGTTGAACAGCTCCAGTTGCTTTTGTTGTGTCTGGGATTGTATTTCTCATGCTATATTTGGAATTTCAGGCCTGAACTGCGAGTTGCTGCCCTGCGAGGCTGTTAATCCGTGCGATAACGGGGCAGAGTGTGTGGAGGAGGCTGATCTCGTCCTCTTCCCTCTGGGCTTCCAGTGCCGATGTCGCAAGGGTTTTACAGGTCCCCGCTGTGAAGTCAACATCGACGAGTGCAGCTCCAACCCCTGTCTGAACGGCTTCTGCTATGACGGTAAATACTGCACTTATTCCTCAAAATGTTTCCCTTTAGTCTGATTAGTGAACGGCTACTCTACAAAGGCAGCCTGTGTGCAGCAAAGGCGCTGTTGGTTTGCCCCTTTGACAGTCTTGGCCGTGACTTAGTTTCATAAGCAGTTTTATGAGACGCAAGTTACTCCATTCGGTTTGACCAGGCCACGGTTGCTTTGGTTTGCTCTTGACAAGTGTCTTGCTCCAGCTGTGAGCGAGGATCCGTATGGCATAAATGCTGCTTTGTAATTTGAATAATGGATGATAAATGACAGAGTTAATACAATCAAAGCCCAAGGCAGGGTGTTGTTCTCCCTCAGCAATCCAATAAGCAGTTTTTTGCCCTTTTGTGTTGCATCTCCTGCATAAATCATTACAAAAGCCATAGATCAAATACACGTTGTCAGTTAAGGATTGCAGATTTCAGAAGCACGAAATAGGCCTTTGCAATGAAGTACTTTCAAACTGGAAACTGGCGACTCGCTTTTGTGTGTGGGGTTAATGATAATTTATTGCGCAGAATCCTCCAGTCAATAGGAAACCTGTTCGAAGACAGTCTTTATTATTACATGCCACACTTGCGTAGACTTTTAAGATGCTGTATATGGCAAAAAGCCTTTAAAAGGAGGCATGTGATGTTCTCCGCTTGACAGTAATTTATTTGGGTAATAAAGTTTTAAAGAGCCCATATTATGGGTTTTTGAAAAATCCCCTCCATGTAGTGTGTAACACAGCTCTAAGTGAAGTGAAGTATCCAGCTAAGGCTTAAATCTGTAAGAATACAGTGTTTAAAACGGTTGATTCATCTATAAAAGAGTCGACTCATAGTGCTTCGAACGAGTCGCCTTGATACCGACTCATTAGGTGTTTCGCCATGACGTACGAACGAAACCAAGTTATTCACGTGCACGCGCAAACCCGGGAGATTTCAAACCTGAGGCCCCGCCCTCTGACGCAGTAACCCAGACACACACACACACACACACACACACACCCCCACACCCACAAACACACGCACACAAACATGCCGGTCGATTGAAGTCACACTGCAGATGGACATTATCGATTCTCTACCCAGAGATGAAACCTCAGCATTATAACCAAGCAGTTGGAAACTTCTGGAAACTACAGGCTACAAAGAATACTTCATCTGCGTTTGTTAAAGTAAGGATCAGTAAAGAATAACTTACTAATGGACGTCAGGATGAGTTTCTTCCTCCATTTCTCAAATGTAAGTACGTGCGATTAAAGTTGCCTCGTTTACTCTAGCTTGCAAATGTATTTAGTTGTAATTTGTTACTTGTAACCGCGTGTACTGTATCAGGTTAACTGGCTATATTCTCTTATCGCGTGCAAAGTCACGTTAAAAACGCGACGCGTGCTGTTTGTTTACGGAGCTCCGTGGTAGAGGTCTGCATTCCCGCGGCTGTCCCCGCGCCAGATTTCTGCGGCGTGGGAATAAATTTCCGAATCAATCGCGGGAGCGGTCGGTAACAGGTTTAATTTGGGACGGGAGCGGGCTGTCTAGCAATATCGTGGATATTACTATGCGAATGAGACAGAGCTTTGCCTGCCTGTGTGTCTGCTTGTCGCTTGTGTATGTGTTAGTGCGTGCATATGAGAGAGAGAGAGAGAGCTCTGTCTGGCTGTCTCTGGACTGTTTTGCTGGGTGATTTTCAATAATGTTCTCCCCCGCTCTTTAGCGGGATCGGGCGCGGCGGGTAGAAAACGGGGCGGTTCGGGCACCGGGACAAGAAATTCTAAATATAAGCGGGAGCGGTCGGGTTCAGGCTAAAACCTGGCGGGTGCGGGCGGAAGCGTTGTCGTCCAGAGGTGTGTGTGTGTGTTTGTGTGTGTGTGTGTGGCAGCTAAAATCCACGCCTACACTATGGAGCGCGTATGAACTGTGATTACTTTTATATTGCTGATTAGCTATTGGGCATTTCATTCTCTGACTGAAGGCAGTCGACCAATCGCGACAGACTGTCATCGGTCCAATCAGCGCAGATTAGCTTTGCGCTAAGGAGGGGTTTAGGAACAAATGAATCAATGGACGATTCATACAGGAGTCGCTGGAATAATTAGGTAAAAATAAATGCAGATTATAAGACCATGAAAGTGTTTTTTGACTTTGCATGCATATTAGACTGTTGTTGGAGACCCTTACAACCAAGATATGATCCTATTTCATGTATAATATGGGCTCTTTAATTCCATGTGGCATAATGGTGGATGTCATTGCAGTGACACCGAGAGGAAGACAAACCTTGACTTTCAAAACTGCGCACAGTTTTACAGTTAGTTTAAAAGAGACTATAAATCATCCCTTCAAAGTAGCAGAAAACACTTTTAAATTCAGTGCGTGTTGTTCTGTATCCTTTTTGTCTAAATACTCTTTTGCTGTCAACTTGCTGCATTGGGTTTAAGCACTGTACAATTGTACTGAACAGATCTTAGTGCTACCGTTCTGAAGCTTTAACATTTTTCAGCGATCTGTAGAGCAGTGAATCTGTGGAGCCAGTGATGGCTCATTGAAAAACTTATAGTAATAGTGATGCAAGGGTAAAATAGGACAAAATATCTGTGTAGGCTTGAAAAAAATAGGCAAAAAATTATGTTATATATATATTTTATTTTTAAACAATCTTTTTATTGAGGTGTAACAAAAACAAAAATATCACATCTTACATCTTTTTTTTTTGTTTACATCTGGGTTTTTAATTTAAAGGAGGTATCTTAACCTCCCGGCCTGCATGTAGGGCTGTGCAATTAATCGAAAATCCAATTTTGATTTTGGCTTCTAACGATTATGAAAAATCATTAACCGAGATAAACGATTATTCCATTATTTACTGCCCCCTTTCCAGTTGTACACATTTGTTGCTCTTAAAACCGCATGCTCCTGTGTGTGTGTGTGTGTGTGTGTGTGTGTGTGTGTGTGTGTGTGTGTGTGTGTGTGTGTGTGTGTGTGTGTGTGTGTGTGTGTGTGTGTGTGTGTGTGTGTGTGTGTGTGTGTGTGTGTGTGTGTGTGTGTGTGCGGCGCGCGCACAGTCAGAAGCATGTGGTCAGCATTCGGTCAGCATTCGTCTCAATTGCACACTATGACGAGCAGAGCATCTAAAGTCATCTTTAATGTGAGCGTTTTAATGGTCAAATAGGTGTCAAAACACTGTGTTTAGTGATTATTCAATTTAACCCTCATTTGTGTAAAAAGCAAACGAGTTGAGGATCAAAAGAAACGAGAAAGCGAAACCATTAAAGTGACAGCCTGCAATTCCTGCTGCCGCCTGTTTCGATCATTATTAATCAAATAACAAAAGGAGAAAATCCCTTGCTGCTCTTGACTGAAGGACTTTTGTAGCTAAAGTGTTTTTCATATAGTGACGATGCTTAAAGCACAGTTTGTTTATTTTTTTATTCTATTGTATTTATTTCTCTTTCCTTTGCAGGGTGGAAAATAACTTTATATATGCAGTTGAAGTCAGAATTCTTAGCTCTCCTGAATATTAGCAACCCTTTCCGCCAAATTTCTGTTTAATGGACTATTTTTTTTCAACACATTTCTTAACATAATAGTTTTAATAACTAATTTCTAATAACTGATTTCTTTTATCTTTGCTATGATGACAGCACATAATATTTGACTAGATTTTTTTTCAAAATAAAAATTTTAATTTCATTCAAATTAATTTCACTTTGAATTTCATTCAAATTCAAAGTGCGATACAAAGGTTTAATTAGGGTAATTAGGCAAGTCATTGTACAACAGTTTTTTCTGCAGACAATAAAAAATATATATTGCCTAAAGGGGCTAATAATATTGACCTTAAAATAGGTTTCAAAATATTTAAACCTCCTTTTATTCTAGCCAAAGTAATACAAATAAGACTTTCTCCAGAAGAAAAAAATATATATAGGAAATACTGTTAAAATTCCTTGCTCTGTTAAACATCATTTGGGAAATATTTATTTAAAAAACATTTCTCAGGAGCGCTAATAATTTTGACTTCGACAGTAATCGTTTTGAATAATCGTCATTACAATTATGACCAAAATAAACGTGATTATGATTTTTCCCAAAATCGAGCAGCCCTACCCGCAGGCAGGGCTCCTTGCAGATTTTAATTTGCAGATTCTCCTTGCTTTGACCCTTCGACTGACGTCAAAAATATAATGAGATTCGGCCCAACAAAACATATATTTTTGAATAACTATCATTGTTGTCCAGTTGCATATAGCCACTTCCAGTTTTGAACCCACACCTACTGGACATTTAAAGTACTGTACTGTATATCCTGGTTACTTTTGTTTTCTCTCAACGTGCCGTCGAGAGTAACACACATGAGGATTATTTCTGGGGCTGATTTAAATGTATAAATATATGTCTGTAAGTCAGGGGTCTCAAACTCCATTTAGCTGGGGGCCGCTAAAGGCAGAGTCTGAGTGAGGCTGGGCCACATCAGGTTATCCACAAGAAATGTATTATATTATTAATTATTAATTTCTAATTTATTTATTTTTTCATCATATTTTGTGTTAAAAGATAAAAATAAAGAGATTTGAAAAGATTGAAATTTAACACAAAACATTATGAAAAAATAAACCAATTAAAAATGTAAAATAAATCAATCAGTAATAAATAATAATAATAATAATAATAATAATAATAATAATAATTAAATTTATCATTTAAAAAAAAAAACTGAAAAAACTGTGTTGTTGTCATTTCTTTTGATTACTTTTACATCATATATATGTAATCATCATTGTGAGGCAATTCAAATACAATGCAAGTAGCGTGATGCAAGTGACTTACAAATAACAATGCGACTGGTGCGACCCTATAATTGGTCTGGGTTATCAGGGACTCTTATTGCCGATGGCTACATTAGGCAGCATTGAGCTCCTTACTTCTCTTTTCATATCCAACTCACAGCCCACACTGACATTCAACTTTCAAATTAAGGTGGAAGCCTCAAACTA